CCCGAGTCTCCCTTTGCGGCCAAGTGAGCGACATCTGTGGGGGCTGCTTGACTGAGGATGCCAAGGCCTTCGGCGGGAGGCCGCTGCAGACTCAGCCGCACGAGACCCTCTCCAGGAGTCTAGTGTGCGCCTAAATGTGCCGGGAGCTCTAACAGGTGTTGGGAACACAGCAGTGACAAAGCAGACGGGCTCTACCCGAGGACCCGGGCGAGCGCCGGTACCGCTGGGTGAAGAGCGATTCGCTCTCGAGGCTTCCAGGGCAGGTGGCGAGCAGCAAACCCGCCGTCAGGTGGCAGTGCAGGCTGCGGGACGACAAGCTCGGGGAAGGGGACTGTGCTCGGGGGCTGTTGGTTTCACATACGGAGTCCCGAGGTCCCACTAGAGTGACACGCGTGGCGGTGCTCAGAGGAAGAGGGCGCGAGGGTGCCGGGGACCCCGAGCCTGCGCGTCCTGCGTGGCTGGGCGCGTTGTCCCGGGGAGGCAGGGGGCGGGGCCAGAGAAGGGAGGGACGGTCCTGCGGCGGGCGGGGGGGGGTCCCGCCTGGCCTCCGGGAGCGCAAGCCGCGGTCTTTGAGCCGAGCAGCGGCGTGGCGAGCGGCGGGCTGCGCAGCGCGGCACAGAGAGGGGCCCGGAGGCGGCCTCGCTCACCCTGCGCAGAGAAGTCACCCTGCAGGTCCGTGCACCCATACGTGGACGTGTCGGTACACGGATGTATGGGGGGCAGTCTCGTAAACGCCCCCATCCCCGCGCCCCCCACCGACGCCACGGACCACCTGCAGGGAGGCGGCGGGTCGGGCGACGCTGCGCAGCGCGGTGGCCTGCTGCCATCCTGTGGCCAGGTGCAGCACTGCGCCTTGTCGCCTCTGCGTTTCCTCCAGCGGCCCCAGGTGCCAGAAACGAAGAGGCTTCAGAAAGAGCCTGGAATCTAGGGAGGCGCCCTAGAGCCTCCACATCCGCTTCACCCTAAAACAAAGCTACCTGTGGTTTGGACCCCTGGAAAACGCAGTGTTGTCCCCGAAGCACGGGGTTCAGTTTTCAGGGGTGACCGATACTCCTGCAGTCAGCGTTCTCGGACCTGCGAGGCAGCGTCTTAATCTGCCAACCGTTTTATTTAAAAAACAAACATCTTGTCAGGTCAGATGGAAGGAACCGCTTAACGTTCTGAGCACGGCACTGACCTTCGACCCGTGGCTTTGCTGCTCCAGCTGCCAAGGCGGGCGAGTTGGGGCGCCCCCCAGCCTCTCTCCTCGCCACCCACCTTGGTGCCAGGCTGGCGCAGGGGTCCCCACTTTTCATTAGGCCCACAAAATAAACTGCCTGTGAAAGACCGGAGGACCAGATGGCTGTTCTGAATTTTACCTAACACTGTTCCACCCCACACCTTCCCCAAATGGAGTGACAGCTGCCCTCACAGTCAGAATGGCCACCACAGTGACCGCCAACGAGCAGGACAGAACCAGGGGCCACCCGCAGCTCTCCCTGTCCTCCTCCACTGCACTGCTGTGGAGGCGACCACTCAGCGACAAATCCGGGGTTCGCCCCAGTACCCCCCAAGTGCGGGATGTTTGGGAAACCTCGCCCGCTTCGAAGAGCCGCAGCATCCCAGGTGGTCAGGGGTCACGTTCGTTCCTTCAGATCTGGGTAAAGTTGCCTTGGTGCCTGCATCGCCTGCACGGTCACCCTCTGACTCAGCTTCCTGCTCTGGGTGGCCGCTCTCCCTCCCACTGCCCCTTAGGGCTTGGTCCCTTCAACCCTACCACACTCTGTCCGTCTCCTAGGACACGCTGGACAAACTCAGTGGGACCAACTCCATCTGGCATGTTCCTTCGGTATTTGCTCTGTGGTGGGAACGGGCTGCTGGCATTGATCTGATATCTGAAGCTAAATCGTTAAACTGGTTTACTGAGGCCGTATCCAGATTAGAAGTGACACTGGTGACGCCAGGGTTTTTAAGTATTCAACTCAGAGAGGCCGCGAACATCGACGTGAGGGCCGGGAAGGGGTGGGGGAGATGGCGCACCCGGGCCGGATGCTCAGGCACCCTGTG